TCCCAAGGTTAATTTGTTACTTGGGTAGGACCATACTCCTACAACTTGGGCATAGACCTTACAGAGGAACACCCTTGTCCTGGTTTAGGACAAATCTGGGAGAAAACCTCCAAAGGGGTTCCTCTAGAAAGCGAACTCAAGTGGCCCCTCCACTAGCCAGTTTGGGAAAATATTTCCTTGGAGAAAAGTTTATTTTATTTAACAGCCAAAGCATTCACCAGCACAAAAAAAAAAAAAAAGAACAATATTAAACATTAAAACCTCTTGCTGCTCCAAAAGAGATGACAAACTCAGAAAGTCCCCTCCATGGGCTGCAGCTGGGCTCACTCAGTCTCTTATCAGTCCCTCTGGCGCTGGAAATGCCACGGCCCAGACCCGGCCTGGTGGGCCACAGGTACGAGCTGCCGGTGCTCCTCTGGATGTTTAGTCCAGAGCAGGTTTAAACAGGTCCAAGGAAAAGAAAAACACAGTCCAGGGAACTTCTCTGCCTCAGCTAGCTAAAAACTAACTAAAAGCAAAGGAGAGCTCTGTCCCGCTGTCTGTCCGTGCTGCAGACAACACAGTCCAGGAGCAGGATGCAGCGGAGCCAAGTGCAGTTTCTGATAACAAACTCCGCTCTTCTTGTCTCCCCACCTTCACTCCCAGAACCAATCTTAAAGGTTGCAAAACTTATTTCTGGGCTAAACAAACAAATGGGGATATGGGCATCATAAAGTCACCCCACGACAACCCTCCATCCTCCTGCTTTGGTGGAGGGAGGTCAGACAGGATTTTGAGGAGAGCATAATAACAGCAGTGTCTCCCCTCAGAGGCTCTCCTCACACCTGCACAAAAGTACACACTGCCCCCCTACTGGAACTCCATAACAGGTGTGTCCAACACAAGGATGGGATTCTCCCAATGCACTCACCTCTGTGTGCAGCAGTGCTGCTGCCAGATCCAGAGGCAACCTTCCTGCACTTTCCACTGCCTCCTGCTGAACGCTACCTTTTCTCACAAATGCAGTTTATTAGAAAGTGACTGGGAGACAACTATCCTGGAAGGAGTGGGGATGCAAAGATAAATAACAGAGTAAGTTCCTGTCTCTATGTTTCCTGTCCCAAAACAAAAGCAGTTAATAAAACAAGGAGCATCAGATCCCAACCGTAGCATTCAGCAGCTCTAACTCCTAACAGGTGGTATAGGAGAGGTGTTCTGGATGTCAACTCTTGAAATATTTTATCACATAATATAAAGAACATTTACAAATGATGAACAGTCTTTTAATGTCATAGTGTCTTTTTTTTTTCTCAAATACTCAAAAGCTCTTTAACTTTGAGGCAGCTTTTGTCTTTTCTAACAAAATCGCTTATAATTCTAATCCACCCCAATAATTAAAGTAATTAAATTACTCTTTTACTAGGTGACCTGACAGAACTAGTTTTGTTCTTGAAAAGAATGGAGATTAAGAGAATATTTCTTTGATAGGTATTAACACAATTCATTACAAAGCACTTCTGTCACGTTTAGTACCATAATTTATATAACCACTACTGTACTATTCAGGTTCGCAACCATTCAAAAGTACTTAAATACTTAAACAGAGCTCCTAGTTTCTATTAAGTACTCATCTCAAAAGTAATCAGATGAATTGTTAAGGAGAACATGATGAAAATTTACATTGCTTTGACCAGCTTAGCTGTTTACTTAATCATAGGAAAATTTCCATCCATCAACCATCAGCCCACAAGGACATACTACACTATCTTCACTCCACAAAAGCTGTTACTCAGCATGCATCTCCTTTCTACTTTTATTGTTTCCATTTCTTTCCAACCTTTCCTTTGGTCTCTGCTCTTGTCAGAACATAAGAGGAAGCTACAGGACCTAGCAACAATAATACTACAAAAAGAAGGAAAATGAGAAAACAAGGGGAAAATGAAAACTTAGTAAGATGTGAGGAGCTCTATCCAGTAGAACAGAGCTATCAAAGAACCAGCAGACTCATTCTCAGGAGCACTACAAAGCACATGACTGAGATTCCTTGACTCCAGCTATGCTCTGTAACAATAAACAAAACTGTCTAAGCTGCAGATGCTCTCTGGACATTTACCTCAGACACAGAGGACATTTTCAGTAGGGGACTTTTCAGGCAGTAGCAAATGGAAATACAGGGGTGAGATGATAGGACTCTTTTCAAAACAGACTCCTAAAGGGCATCCTGGCTGCCACTACAGCCACCTCTCCCATTTAGCTCTCTCATGGCCCCTGGTCTCCAAGTTTGTTTATTGGGAAATGACTGCTACCTCAAGTATGAGATATCCTCAAACTTCTCACTTCAACATGTGTTACTGAGGGGTAAGGGTTGTGGGTAGTGTGGCCTTTTTTTCAGAAGCAAGAGTATCAGATAAGTCTGGCAGGATAGTCTGATCAGATGGGACCACATACTGAGACTTTATTCTCCATTTCTTTTTCAGCAGTTAACCTTTATGAAAGGACTTGTTTGCTAAATACAATGAATGTATCAGCTGCTCTGTCCCGGTTCAGAGACAGGTGCACATTACAGCTTTTCTCAGCAAGTCATGAGGACCTGTGAACAACCACTTCTCTGCAGTAGTGAAGGCTGTGATCTTTAACAGGGACTACACTCCTGCACTGTGTGACAGAATTACTGAGGTTTAAGAAATTACCACCTCCAGTCAGGATGTGATGATTGACCAAAAGGTCACTATATAAAACAGCCTAATATTCATTGCTCTCCCCATTAAGCTTGAAGTCACAGAGACACTGAAACTCATCTCTTTTTCTCTGCCACTGAGGCTTGTTAAGAGCATGGCTGACAGCCAGCCATTTTGGCCCAGATCCCCAATGCAATTGCTTCCGACAGTGTAACCAACCACACACATGGTTATTTCTGCCCTGAGCTGTACATAACTGCACAGAGCAGTGGTAATCAGCTAACCAGGGCATCAACCAGCCCTCACCTGGTAAATACCCATGCAAGTAGGCCCTGAGCTGTAAATAACTGCACAGAGCAGTGGTAATTGGCTAGCCAGGGCATCAGCCAGCCCTCACCTGGTAAATATCCATGCAAGTAGGCTGGCTGCACTGTTACATGCTCCCTTCTGTGTTCGGGTGACTGGGGTCTCTTCTTGATATGCTCTTAGAGAAGTGGGCACAGGAAGGGAAGTTCAGAGGAAGTATTTCCAACAGTGGAAATACTGGCAGTAGTCACTCACTCTCACAGAAACAACAGCCCAGTACTGGTTAGAGAACATCCAGTCAATTCAGGATTGCATGGTACTACAGTGTGTGTGGTACCTGCAACATATATAAAACCACAATTAACCTGATAAAAAGAAAGAGCACCAACATATGCGTGAATATCCTCCCACTGCAGTACAACAGCACAAAATTGTGCATTACTTCATCAGTGCCCAGACCCATCAATGTCTAATGGCACACAAAGTACTGCTTCAAGAGTGGAACCAGAGAGAGGAATGCATTCTGGAACCATGGGCACAAGTGATAAGAAGTGTGGCTATGCTTGATCTGGTTCTGTTCCATGGCAAGGAAACGTGAGTTTTTATACAATTTTCTCTTGACTAAACAAAAGTACTCTTTCGCCAAGCAGTCCTAGATGAGAATTCTGCAATTCTATGCTCAGCAGTTTACAAAGAACAAAGGGGTTTTTTAAATCATTTTGCTAATAGCACACACAAGAAATAGCAAAACTGAAACTCACATCCCCAGGAAGGAGTTAAGGAAAAGCAAAACACTACCAGTGGCCATCATTAATATGGCATTATGATTCACAGATGCAAAATAGAAAATGCAAAGTCAAACCAGAGCATAAAAACTGTCTAGCAGGTAAGTTGCTTTCTCGCTATCACAGGTACAGAATTTTCCAAGACAGTGGGTGTATGAAAAATACCCCAATATTTTGGAAGCAAATCCTGACTCATTCCATACCAAAAAGGCTCCCAATCAGAAAATGCCTGAAGCATCAAAGCAACTTTCTGAACATTTCAACATTTCAAGTTAGAAAGGATCCCAGAGTAGCTAGTATAAGAATGCTCAAGCCAAACAAGTAAAGCAAACAATGTGAACAGAGGACAGAATTGCTTTGGTTTGGGGGTGGCATGGTTAATTGTTTTGATCAAAGTAAAAATTATCCAGCAAATTTTAAAAGGAATGAAGATAAGTAATAATGAAACAATGAAAGAGAAGACAGTCACAAATGAACACAGCACTCTGTGAACTGAATTTGCTGTTGTAGTGTTTCCACAGACCAGTGCACTGATGCACCATAGTGAAGGTTTCCTCTCTGAAAAAGCTTCACAAGTTGCCTTTGTAATCTTAGTGTTACCATTTGAGTTATCCAGTAAACAGTATGAAAAAATATTCTGATTTAATGACTCAAGAGTGGGCACAGATTGAAATTTTCTGCCCCACTGTAAAAGTCACATTGGAGCTTTCATAAATGTCAGTTTCAAGCTTTGACACAAAAATAAATACTGATGTCATTTGCTACAACTGTAGTAATGGATTATGAAGACGTGATGAGCAGATATGTGAGGAAAAGCAAATTATATGAGTTATACTGATAGTTATAGGCTGCAGGCTCAAAATATTTTCATCCTCTTTATTACTTTTGATATGCAAGATCTCTTTAGACCATTTCTAATTACTGGCGTAGCACAGCTTCAGTAGAACTGCAACATGTTGCTATGGCAACAGCAGTGGTTTCACATGTTTATTTCACTAGAACATGTTTCACCTTGGAACTCTCCAGCTGGATTTGAATAATGGGTCAGACTTCAGAGGTGACCTGGAACTCCCAATGCCTTCAGCAGTGCTGCACCAGCTCCTACTGACAGAAAGCCTACTCCAATTGCTGCTGTGTTTTCAAGTAAAAATTGTAAAGGCGGCATTGCCCTTCCTGGAAAAGCATTCCCACACTGCAGAGACAACCTCAACGAAGGCACACACATGTGTTTGATGCAGGACAAGCACCGTACCTCATTCCTTCTGTAGATCTGTTCTGATAGTTGCGGTACAGCTGGGGGACACCCAGCATGGCCTCAGTGAACACAGCAAGGAAGCCCAGTGTTTCCACAAAGAGGGAGGAGTCCAGCCACAGGTAAGTGATGTAACCAGTCACACCAGTGAAAGTGAGGACGCACTGCACGTAGTCTGTAAACTTGCTCCAATGCCAAAAATAGTTCAAGTCAAAATCTGCAACAGAACAGGAATGCAAAAAGAATGAAACTTATTTTCCCAACCAACTCTAAGTTAATCAGGGTGGAATTGAGAACTGGGAAGCATGAGGGAGCCACAGTCTTTGGAGGAATAGAAAATGAGAGGTAGGATTAAAAAAATAAAAACAAAACAACTAAACAAACACACTTGCAATCACCTCCCCCCCCGCCCTACCCCCCCCCCCAAAGAAAATCCCACAAAACAAGAAAAAGAAAGATTTTAAAAACATTTTTTTTGGGGATGTTCAATAAAGAAACAAGAAAACAAAGGCTTGCAAGCCAACGAGGTATTTACAAAGATAACTTTTTAAAAGTAAGCATTTTAAAAATACCTTCTTCTATCAAACCTGGAGGAATCTGGATACTGCTCTAGTACAGCTGGCATAGGAAATGTTCCACAAAAACCTCCAGTACTAATAACAGGCCCCAAGCACTGCAGTGCAAGCTTTCTTTCTCTTAGGTCATTATCTCTGCCTTCCAAGAGCCTCAATCCAAGCTGCTTAGAAGGTCACTTGAAGTCCACTGCTCTGTTCCCTGGTGCAGTGCAGCTGCCTATGGGGAAGGGCAAGATGCCAGTGCAGCTGCTACAGTTTTACTGAGACAGGTACGAGACTGAGACAAGATCTTCCCTGGGAAAAAGCCTCTCACAGACATCATCACTTTCACTCCTCGGACAAACATTGCTCTTGCCTTTGCCAGCACCAAGGAGTGCAGTTGTAGAACCCATTTCTGCATCCATCGCAACAAAATGCTCAGCCACAGAATGCAATATCCCCTCTCGAGGGAAGGAGAGAAGAACAAGCCAACCATAGCATTTGCTTGGTACATTAACAGTGTATCATTGGAAGACACCTAGCAGTCTTATTGATGAATAATAAAATACACAACCCCATAGTGACTGACTGTATAGCAATATAACAACTTAATTTTTAACAAAAATGCTACAACAACTGTTCATTAGCAGGTGCAGTTCCTGCCTTCCTTTCATAGAAGCACCTACTTCAGACCAACTGGACTCTCTGAACTACCAAGGTAATGAACTATTGTCCTAGCAGGGATATTACAACCAGCCCAAAGCCATGCAACACACAGCACATCACTAGAAGATTTCCATTGCTGTCATCTCAGAAGTAATTGAGAAAGCTACATAAATAGTGCCACTGCTAACTCAAGCAAGGAAGACATCGACCTCCACTGACTAATACTAAGAGAAAATTCAGTGAGATGGGAATATAGGCATTTAGCTGCCTCAGGACAGACACACCAAGTAGTAGTTTTATTTTCTGCATCTCTTCATACCTTCGTATCACTATCAGTCTGTCTCTCAGACACACTTTATTCTCTTTTTAGTACTTAGCAAACCCACACCTCAGGATATCTCCTGACTGTACCCAGCTGAATCAGTTTATTTTGCCACCCAAAGAGGAAAGCACAACTGGCCAGGAGCCATTCCCAACCTGCAGCATTATCAGCCATCACCAAGAATTGAGTAAAATTACCTGGGGCAAAACCATTGTCAATGTAAATGTTGACTTTCAGTATTTTATGATAGTGGCTCCTCAGCCTCAGACTTCAGGGACACAAGACTAAATAGAAGTTAGACCCAGTGCCGGCACAGCCCAAACCACGTGAGCCTCTTGCATTTCTGGAGCTTTGTGAAGGCCTTCCTTTTTGGAGATGAAGGGCCCATGGCCCTTCCTACCAGCTGTCACATCTGCCCTGCATACACTTGTTTTCCTCCTGAGTTCCCCACATGCTCAAAGATCCTTTTCAAAATACCCATCCCTGGACATCAAATCCTAAATTCCCCAGTTCATTTTCATAATAGAAATCAAAAACTAAAACTACATTGAAGGAACAAAGTTTAGGAAGTTCATTAAACCAAAAAAGTCAACATTCCCGCAGCTATCGTGAGGCAAGCTACACAATCCATGCAAAAGCACTTGAGCATGTATGAGAAAAACACTGTGTGAAACAGGATTTCAGCTGAAGCAGAAGAACTAATTACTAGCACAGAGACTCTATTTTGCTCAAAACTATCATGATGCTGCTACATAATCTCCATTTCACTGTAGTAGTTTATAAGTTCTTGTTTCTGCAATTAATTTTGCTTGGTAATATAGTTAAGAAAGAAGGGAAGAAGGGAAGAGAAGACAAAAGTGGTAAGAGCAATCATAGCTTTGGTAACAATTTTGCAGATAAAAACATCTGAGTTATTGTAAAAACAGCCCAATATATAATCACTAATTGCTCTACTTAACAGATGTATTCTCCAGATGCAGAAGTCTATTCTAGGACATTAAACCTCACCACACTGCATTACAAAAAAAAAAAAAAAAAAAAAAAAAAAAAAAGTAGAGAATGGAACACTTGACTCTCCATAGTGGTTGTAGTTCCTTTAGTGCTTATCTGAACTGCCAAAATGTTTTGCCACATGATTTCTTCTTTTTAACCAAGGCTAAAGTTTACTTTTTTAAAGAAATGGCTTCAAAAACTCAGAGGGAAAAAAGTCACACACCCATCACTTCAAGATCTGGAAATAAACTGTGACTCATTTTTCCAAGTGGCTCCCTTCTCAAGGGGGTCCAAACACATTAGTTCTGTAATGGGAGTGACATTTTTAAAGAAGTAAATGTTAATTCTACTGAATACAGTGACGGTATGTGCAAAAAAAAAATTTAGATACTTTAAAAAAAAGTAGTTTCTAAAAACAGAATAAAATTCATGTGTGTGCAAATCTGTCCTATTTCAAGAAGATGGGAAGAGAACACCAACCTGTGTCCCAGACCATGTCATCTGAGAACTGAACAAAGTTATACATATTATTGCAAACATTATTCATGTTTAAATAAAAGTATGAATAATAAATATCCTATTGGGATTTTTGCTCCCCCCATCATCTCTTTTCCTTAGAAGGACAAAACAAGAAATCCCACCATACCACCATTTATTTCTAGAAAACATCTTAAAAACTGTCTAATGTGGATTCATATCTTTCTACTCCCTGAAATGGGAAGTCACTGCCTGCACAGCTCACTCCATTCTGCCCAGTGAGAAATCCCTGACATGGATTTGTAACCACACTCAGCTGATGCAGTTCAAGCAGTAACTCCCAGTCACTAACATCCTGTGTGGATGAGAATTAGCATTACTGTGGTGAAAGGTACTGTATTTTATTACCCATGGCTGAGCTCTTTAAACCATTCAGTGAAATGCATTTTAAGCATGTTAATCCATTGATAGATGAGAGAGTTATGCTGGAAAATCCTATTAATGCTGGGGGAAGGAACAGCTTGGTAGGTTTTTTGTGCACTGACTGGAGAAAACTCTAAACAGCTTGAGGGTGAAGAAGGATGAGATTAAAAGACCTCCTCTGGGAGGCACTTTGCATGTCAGAGATTAAAAATGTGAAGCAGGCAGAGACAGCATTGTAAATAACAATGGTTATTACCAGTCAGGCCAAAATGCAAGTAGTAAATTCAAGATTCTGGTGTGGGATAGATGCCAAGTGACACAAAGAAGAGTCCACAGTATCAACTTTCAAGTGAGGATGACACAGAGGTCCAAACAGTTCGGTTATTTTTAGACAAGAAACATTTTATACCAAGTCAGATACCATGCCAGTTCCTTTTGGGAAAGTGAAGCAAAGACTTTGACATCCTAAAAATTATTTACTGTAGCTCTCAATTTCTCTGACTAGTTGCATCTTATTTTGTGCCGTGACCTAATTCTGTACCTACATCCTTGCACTATATTCACTTACACTTGTCCTTAAGACATTTGACCCAGCTCCTCCATTTGGCTGGTTCCGTCCCACTTTTGAGGTCAAGGAAAATCTTGTAATTTCCACTGTCTGTCTTTGCAAGGTGGGAGAGTTTGCGTTTGAGCCCTTTGTATAGCTTTGACAAAGAAATAAACTCTCTTCTTCTTATGAAGGCTCCTGGTTTTACCCTCTCTCCCACTGCTTATTGAACACCATTACATCGCAGTCACTCACCCAAACTGCCTCCCATAACTAAGCTCTTGACCCCCTGAATGAAAAGCACTGCTCACTAAGTCCTTCTAAGAGCAAGCTGAGCAGACAGTCTCTACCCCTGAGTGCCCTTCTAAACAGATGACTCAGTAGTTAATCCTCCTACCCTTTGGTACACAGCTAATTCTTATGTTTTGTGAGACTGTGGTGCTGTTCAAAGGATATCCAATTTCCATCATCTGGCTGGCAACCACCGTACCTGCCCCCCCCCCAACCTGCTCCTGCCACACACTCAAAGGAGTCCAGTCCGAGCAGTCAGATGTTCAACGCCTCCCTCAACAGCACTGCAATCCAAAACCTGGCTTAGATGCTGTGAAGGAGCCTGATAACAGTAATATATCCAACCTGGAACAGTTACAAAATGCAGTCATGGCCAGGAATTATTTCAGATTATTATCCATGGTCTGTTTCCTGTAAATCATACACACTTTGAAGATGCAGAGGACCCTCTGTGGCAACATTCTGCGCCTCATGTGGGTCTCAGCCACTGGGCTACAGTACAACACTCTCCCCCTCATTTGCTCTTCTGCTCATCTCCAGAACTCACGGTCTCTGCTGTAAAAGGGGTTCAGCTCTGAGCTGCAGGCAAATATGCTTCTGCTCCTCATCCCAGCCCAGTTACAAGGGCAACTCTTTGGACAGCTAGAAGATGCAGACTTGTATCCCAGGCTGACAAAAGAAACTAACTCAGACCTCTCATACTTCCAATGAGTGCTCTAAGCTATACACAGCTCCTGCACTCAGCAGTGGCATCTTAAAAATAAATTTTACCACATTCTCTAAAGAGGACTTGCAAGGCACCTGCCACAAGAGGTTGGGCCCAGGCAGTAGATTCTAAAAAGAAGACTTTTACACTTCCAGTTCTTCAGCTGCAGCAAAGTCTGAGACATTTGCCTCAGGCATTATCTGTTTCCCTGGCAATCTTAATTTCAGCTGTCTCATCT